ACACACACACACACACACACACACACACACACACTTTTCGCTTGTTGTTAATCCCTCTCCGCCCCAGAGAAACTCCTTGTCTTTGATCTAGTCGATTATTTCACTCATCGCTCCGTCTCAGCTTAGCCCTTGTTGGCCCTCTCTGTAATGAGCCTCCGGGTGATGTTCTCTGTTTCTCTGGCAGCAGCTCAAACATTTCCTCACACACACCGTGAACCCGACAGGCTAAAGCCTGGACTACATCTGCCGTGAATCCTAACGAGGGAGAGTCTGTGCATCGATAATTTGAAAAACATTGTTGACACCGTTTATTATTTAACATGTCTGCTTCTCCTCTAACCCACAGGATTTTGATTCTCGGAGGATCTGGGGGCGTGGGAACCCTTGCTATACAGGTATGGAGGAAAAGGTGGAGGATGAAGGCCATGCAGCATTATTATGGGATGTTTTGGTAGGTACAACATCAGGCTAAAGTGACCTGCTTGTTCACACATGTGAGAGCAGAATGAAAACTAGAAGGACACTCAGAGAGCACATACCTCTATGAAACCATCCCCTAATGAATCTACATTCAAATAAACTGCATATGGATTTTTATTTGGATCTGTTCCAAATTATACACACTGATAAATATCAGTCTCAAGATTCATGAGGTGTCAGCAGTACTGAGGGTTGTACTGGACCATTGTGGTGAAGAAGGAGCTGAGCCACAAGGCAAGGTCTTTGGATTTATCTGTTGATCCATGTTCCAACGCTCACCTATGGTCATAAGCTCAATGTGGTGTAACGGCTTAGAGATAGAGTTCAGACATCTGGAGTGAGCTTGGATACGTGGAAGACAATGGATGAAAGATCCATGAGTTATTCTCTGAGGAATCAAGGAACATGTTGAAAAACGCTCTTGCAATGTTAATTGCTGATCCAAATCTGCACCACAATGTGGACTTGAAACAAAGAAACAGATGAAAATATGATCTCCTTGGCAGAGGTACCTCAGCAAGAACACTGATGACATAAAACTAACATTCAGGTCATCCCTCTCTTTGACCTGAGTAAAACTGCTCACATCAAACAGATATAACATTTGATATTATCCGTGTGCTTCTCAAATACTAGAGAAAATTCAGCTGCCTACAACAACCCAAATATACTGTACATGTCCTGTCTTCTTACAACATTACACAAATTACTTTTTCTCTGTGGTCATATTGGATCATAGGACTATCATTGTGTGTCCAGATGCTGAAGGCGTGGGGGGCCCATGTGACTGTTACCTGCTCCCAGAATGCCGAGCGGCTTGTAAGGGGGCTGGGGGCGGATCACGTGGTGGACTACACAGCTGGACCTGTCGAGGGGCCGCTCAGTGCACTGGAGAAGTGAGAGAATCACACGCAAACACATCTACAGTGGTTTTTCATTCATGTTGGTATTTAATGGGAGTTGGTGTCTATAAGTGTTACAAGCTGGCCCTTGTTGTCACGGCAACCCTGTCTCCCAAGCTGTAGTTGACTCATTACTGTGGGAAGCCCTTTAATTTTCTAATGAACTGAATCACATTCAGAGCGTATCTCTCTCTCTTCATGTCTGTTCAAGTGTCCTCATCGTTCCTCACCTGCATCTTCTTCTCATTTACTTTAATTCATGAGCACGCCATACGTATCTTCGCTTGTGTCGTCTGTAGTTTTCACCATCCCCACCCCYCCCCCCCCCCCAGATTCGACCTGATCCTGGATAATGTCGGTGGGGACACGGAGCGTTGGGCGTTGGATCTGCTTAAGCCTTGGAGCGGCGCCAAGTATGTCACCCTTGTGACGCCGTTCCTCCAGAACACCGACCTGCTGGGTGTTGCTGATGGCATGATGCAGACGGCTGCTACTGTTGCCACCAAGGCCCTCAAGGTAACCGCGGCAGGAAAACACAGATGCAGTTTGATTCATTACTGTTCATTTTCAATGTTAAATTAAATACTCACCATAAGTCAAAGCTGAAGTTGAAAATGAACTTGCTGCTCAGATAACCTGCGTGACACCTCATGGAGTAAAGTGAAATGTTACAAATTTTGATTAGCTTTCTGTTAGCAATCATAATGCGGTAATTTCCTTTCTTACGTGAGGGGAAAGTTTTCATTACCAATGCCACAGATACAATGATATTTTTCCAGATGCTATGGTAACAGCATGTTTGTTACGTGAACAAGCTACGTCATACACATTTTTCTTCATTCATTCAGGTACAGGTCAGGTTAAATCAGCAGAATATATAATATTATTCATTCTCTCTGTCTCACACAAACAAACACACATGTACATGCGCGCGCACACAACCACACACACACACACACACACACACACACCTGTTAGTTGTATCCTGTCATTCCATTGCAAGGGGAGCAGAGCATGCAGTGCATTTGTGGTGTGTGCGTGCCCCAGCTGTGCATCAATACTTTTTTGTCAACCACAAGATTGTCAAGGCAAGGTTAGCTGTAGTAAAGTGAATTTTTGTAGACGAAAAAGTAACACCTCTACTTCCTTCTTGCTTGTTTCACCTCAAGCCAAGTGTCTCATACACACATATTGAGATGTTATAGACTTTAACCAAACATCCTTTGAAAGGAAGTGGCATAGGGCCTTGTTAAGTGGTTTCTGACTTTGGTGTCCATGCAGTCTCTTTAGCTGGTCATATAATTTTAAGGGGGTTCTCTCATTCCTCTTCTTCCAGCCCTTAACCCTTTCTCCCTGTCCTCCTCACAAAGTGTAACCAGATAGGATAGTGTGTCATGTACTGTGAGGCCTTAGAGGCACCATATCATTTTGTATCCTGTTTCCATGCAAATGGAATCAGCAGCCATGTGGCCCACATACCTCCTGCTCAAATTCATTTCAACTCCCTGAATTGAAGTGTGAAGTGCTTAGCTGATTTTTTTTAAACATGGTCACACCTCTTTCTGTGACACTGTCTCGCATTAGCCCCACACCATCCAATCAGAACCACAATCTGAGACTGATCATTCAGCGGAGGTGTCTATTTAGCTGTCGCATTGTTTCAGCGTTGGCGACTGGGGTCGTCTGACCGGTTATTGGTTGGAGGTTCTCTCAAGGCAATAGAGGAGCAGTATGATGACATCTCTGAGTAAAAAGAATAGAGGAGGTACTGTGTGTTTACCAAACGGGATGCAAAAAACTTGCTATGCACCTTCAGGTATCACCACGCCATGTCTGCTCACACTAACAAACTGTACGGTTAGTAAAAGAAAAACCAGAGCACACACAGGCGGCTGAGTTATTGCACTGTCCTCATTTCTACAAATAGCCCCCCCCCCCCCATCCCACACACACACATAACGTAACAAAAGACATTTACAAGAGTCAAGTCATTTACTCCTTTTAATGGGAGTACCCAGCTGTTAAGGGCTCAAAGGAAAATGGTGTGTGTCTCCACCCTCATGCACCTGACATACATGGAACTGTTTCAATGTCTCTGCTGACGAATGTCATTTTATGCACAGCAGCTGTACAGAACATCTGTGTGCATCCTGGAAGATGTGAAATGTAGAGAAGAGTCAGTTACATGGCAATATCTGTGTAGAGTTTTCTAACATTTGCTGGTAAAAAAAGCTACTGGTCATATCAAATAAGGCTGTAGCGTGATTTTTTGTTTGCTTTCTTGTTTAGCTATGTGACTGTTTGAGTTAGTTTGTCAGACCCTATAATACACTGTGAAGTTAACGTCATGAAAATTAAAGTTCCTGCAGTGAAAAACGTTGTAATTCTGTTTTTACATTCTCTCGCAGCACCTTGTTAAAGGAGTTCACTATCGTTGGGGATTCTTTGCACCAAGCGGCCCTGCCCTGGATGAAATAAGGGAAATGGTGGATGTGGGACAGGTACTGGGTTTTCTCTTTAACTGCCTATTGACTGCTTATAAATTTAACCCAGCAGAATTACAAATAAACATGGCTATGGTGTATTGATTATTAGAAATGATTGACTGTGAAATGCATAAAATGAATCACGTGTCAAATTATTATGAACGTATTTTATTTTACATCTCACCCAATTTAATTTGACTTACACTGTGAAATATGACGCAGTTCAGTAACCTAACCTCTATGCAGAGGACTTCCTCCTTATCTAAACATGCTCTTTGTTTGAGATATAGATCATCACCTAGAAAAGGTTGGTGGGTAGAACGAGGCACATTTGAAATTAGAATTGAGTTTAAACCTGTTGTTTATTCATCCTTCAGCTGATTTTCATCATCTGAGGATAATGAAAATAAAAACCTGTCTGCTTGTGTTACCTCTGCTCAGCATTCCCCCCTCTCTCTATCTCAGATCCGACCTGTGGTGGAGGAAACGTTCAGATTTTCCCAGGTGCCCCAGGCCATGGAGAAGATGGAGAAGGGTCACGCCCGAGGAAAGACTGTTGTCCAGGTCATCAACGAGGGCGATGACTCATAGCGACGACTCTTGGACACTGTGCATTCCTCTGAATGACTATGAAACAAATTAAATCAGGTCTTAGGTTATTGTATCCCCAGCTGCTCAGATACATAATGTATATAAACATTAAACATGGTCACTAGAGTTATTGCTTCTCCCTTGTGTGGGTTTTGTAGCTGTACTGTGTATGCTTACCATCGGAGTACTTTACTCCTGTCGAGTCACACCAGCAGAATTCAAATCTGAGAGCACTGGTGCCCTCCGGAGGCTGCTTGCAGGTTTTCACTGCTTGCAACTGCCTGTACCACTGCCTGTACCACTGCCTGCACCACTGCCTGCACCACTGCCTGCACC